CATGGTAAGATATTATAGTATTTTGGCACTTGTGTATAAAGTTAAAATCATAAATAATATTCAATGTTCAACTGGTACACAATTAAAAACATTTTATTTAGGCCTATCTATGGCCTTCAGAAAGTTGACAGCTCTACATTACAACATCATCCTCAGGAAACATGTAGAGTCTTCAACTTTTTGAAGGCCATAGATAGGCCTAAATAAAATGTTTTTAATTGTGTACCAGTTGAACATTGAATATTATTTATGATTTTAACTTTATACACAAGTGCCAAAATACTATAATATCTTACCATGTGTATACTATATTTTTAGCTGGAGTGGTTACATTGTACAAGGAATTATTTTTTAACAACATAGTTACACCTATAGTTTTTGATGTGTAAGATACTACAACGTAATGAAAACGCATTTTTGATAAAGAAATATTATCTGTAATTGGCATTTCATCATAAAAGTTTTTTCAAAAGGTGAAGTATAAACTTTATATCCACAATGTATGGGTAGATACCAGATAAACACAGTAAAAGAAGTATTAAACACCATTTTGAGTGTTCAGCCAAAGGACACAAGTAGCCAAGGTGGAGAAACAAGGGAAGCTGTTGTCTACCGAATGGCTAATGACATGCTGAATAAACTACCTCCTGATTATGTCCCCTATGAAGTAAGTCTATTTCAGTCCACTTTCAATAGATAATCTATTTAGCATTTTTTATGTTGTCAATGTATCCTTATGAAACCTACCCATTGGTGTCACTGATTTTTTTTAATATCATTGGCTAAAGCAGTTCCTTGACATTTTTTTTTGCCTTAGAGAGCACATTCCATTGAAAAGTAGTTGGTGTTTTTTATCTTACCATTAACCAACTTACTGTAATATTTTAATTTTTTCTTTTATAACAAAATATAAATACTTTTAATTAACCCTGTTATCTATATAAATTGCAAGAGCAATTGTTGTCTGCAGTTAATTGATATGATAATGGATAACATCCAAATTACTATCAAACCATTTGAATCAAATTGAGCATTCTCTTTACTTTAAAGGTTAAAAAACGACTTAAAAAACTTGGGCCATTAGCTCCCATGAACATCTTCTTGAGACAAGAGGTAGACCGTATGCAAAGAGTGATTTCAACTGTACGTTCAACACTGTTGGATCTAAAGTTGGCTATTGAAGGCACAATAATAATGAGTGAAGGACTGAGAGATGCTTTAGACTCTATGCATGATGCTCACACTCCAGCAATGTGGAAAAAGGTATTACTTTTAGTTTAAAAAAATATGCAGTATCAACATTGCCACAACAGTTATATAACATGTCATGTACATTAAAATATATCTTAGCCAAAGCAAGTAAGTTTTTTTTTCCCTATTTAAATTGGTAAGAGGCTAAAGGAGCAGATGAGATTTAGGATGATTAAGCTTTGATGTTTATTTATCTTTCTATATACATGTGTGCTTTTCCATGTATTAGTTTTGGGAGGTGACACTTAATAATGATTTTGTTCACAGATATCCTGGGAGTCGAGTACCCTCGGCTTCTGGTTTACAGAGTTGTTAGAAAGGGATGCCCAATTTCGGCAATGGTGTTTCGAAGGACGGCCAAATGTCTTCTGGATGACTGGTTTCTTTAACCCTCAAGGTTTCCTTACAGCAATGAGACAGGTGTGGGGAAAATTGGTAATCTCTTGTCTTTACAATTTAATCAAAAAGATTAGTAGTGTTCCTTTATCTTTTGCAGTTCAGCACCTCATATGACACAGGAGTGTTAAGGGTATCATGCAAATGTCACTGTTGCCACCAGGGTTGCAGTCTGACCTAATTAATCACAAACTGATCAAAATATTATCCATCAGTGCCCCTTCTGACAACAGACATTACAGCAACAGTACATATCTAATCTTATATGCTGGGCATTTTTCACCTTGAGATCTAAAATTATGCAAGACTCCAGTAATGTACTGGTGTTAAGTCCAAAAAAGCTCTTACAAGATGTGTTTCACCTGATTATCAATAAGTGGGGGGGCACTATCTTGCATGGGAATTACTTTGGTTGTGTGGCTTTGCAGTTCAAATAGTATGGTCCAATAAACAAATCAGCTGTGAAACCACACAACATTGTCACCTTAGTGTCATGGAGGTGTGTAGGAACTGCTGCATGTGTTTACACTTCCAGAATGTGTAAAGTATGCTTCATCAGCCCACAATATAATCTGCATGTCATTGACTTCCAGTCTTGCCAAGTATGCAATGTAAAATCAATATGTTGAATTAAATCATCTCGGGTAACATAACACGCACTAACGCTGGCTTGACCACAAATGTAATCTGTCTCTAAATTTGTTTATGAACTTGCACATGGCAAAACTCTGGAAGGAGGTCCTGAGAACTGCCTCAGCACTGCATACCTTGGTGTAATAACGTTTCACTAGTTCACACTTGTTGGGTGAATGACAGGCTCATTCATACCCATGTGGTATTTGCATGCTACCCTAAACACTTGTTTGTAATTTCACCTTCTTAAGCTGTAGCATTTATGATATAGGATATGCTGAATTTCAAATCTGTTTTTTTATGAGTCATTAATATAACAAAAATGAGCCTCTCTATTGAAATAATGTTTTGTGACTGTTATATTATCCTGTTAGTCAGAAATGCACAACAATCAGATCTAAGAAAATACAACTGATTTCCAAGTGTACTATTATTAATTATTTTCTTTTTTAGGAAGTGACCAGAGCGCATCGTGGTTGGGCCTTAGATGTTGCAGCTCAGCATAATGATGTTACCCGGTTTATGAAAGAAGACATAACAGAACCACCAGCTGAAGGGGTTTATATCTATGGTCTGTTCCTCGAAGGTGCAGGGTGGGATAGGAAGAACAGTCGTTTAGTAGAGTCAAAACCCAAAATGCTTTTTGAGGTACTTCCTGTAATCCATATATATGCTATTAATACAACTGCAGGAAAGGATCCATGGCTGTATGAATGTCCAGTTTACAAGAAACCACAGAGAACCGATTTAACTTATGTTGGCTCTCTTGACTTGAAAACCCAACAAGGGCCTAGTCATTGGGTATTGCGGGGTGTGGTTTTATTGTGTGACATCAAATAATGTTTAAGAATTAGTACTAATAATTCACAATTAGTAGTAATCTTTAAGCAATCAATTATTGTATCAACTTGTATCATACATATTACCACCAGGAGACATATTCCTTTTTTTAAGTTTATTCTCATTTAAATAAGTAACACAGATGTAAATGCAATTGGAATACAATATTCAAAACTGTTTTTTGCACAGTGCACTCAAGACAATTTTTTTCTAAGCAACACTATTTCAAATATTTACATGTATACTAATAATAATTCAAAACATTTTATACAATTAATGGCAACAACTGGAATTGTTTCCTATACATATTCTGCCAAACTGTTTATAGAAAATAATGAAATTTCATTAATTCCATTATTGTATGTGTATCCCGTGATATGACCTAGTTATTCAACACCAAATATCTGCATTATTTTTATATTGTAAACACTTATTTTTAACCTAAAATTTGTCAAATTCATTATTTTGATATGGAACTTTTAATCTTTTTTTTTTTAAACAAATTACAAAATAATTTTCCTATTCAGCTGTAGGCATAAAAAATTACACAAAGATCTAAGTAGTATTATTCCCATTACTACACAATGAATCAATACAACATCGGTGAAAAGTGCTTGTAATTTTAATGAGACATGTCCCAAGTGGTTATGCAATTTCACACATACTCCTACACCAAGATGCAAAGTCAAAATATACAATATACATATTTAAGTTTTTTTTTTTTATTTAGATATGTTTTGACCACATGTAACAGTGTGGAAGTATTTCATGTGTAGGCCACTCTACAACCAAGTTTCCTTTAATTGTAACAATATTTTTATGATAGACTATTATTGTTTAAGCTTTCTCCAGTGCTACATATGTTTTCCCATCTTAGTTACATTATGATGTTGACTTAAAAAACTAGCTTAACAGCCTTTATTGGGTTGATCAAAAGGTTTTTGTTGTATACATTTATAAAGTTATTTCTTTCTGTATCATTAAAGGGGAGTTACAAACTTTCTGTAACTACTAACCTTAGGGTAAAGACATACCATGTATCCATCTATTGAATACTGAATGGTCCTGCACATCACATAGTCAGTTGTCTTATTTGACATTCTTTCAGCCTGTGCGCTTAACTGCTCCCATACTGTCACAACTGGTCTTTTAAACTTCTTGTTTATTTCACTTGGGTAAAACTGTTTGATGCTTGTCTTGATGCCACCCAGGCTGTGAAGACATCTCTAGGACATTTCAAGAACTGTTAATTACTGATTTACCTATTAATTGTTATATATATATATCACTTATCACCATTTTTTGTATATGTAGGTTATGACATGCACAAAATGCAAAATATTACGGAAGCTGAATAAATCTGCTATTTCTAGATGTTAAATTGACTATATTTTTAAGCATCCGAGTATTTAATTATTTGATTAGAAAATAGTGTGTGCGTGCGTGTGCTTAAACAACCAGGCTGACAATAGAGAGCTACAGAGCAAGAACACAGATGATAACTTATTAGATTTATTCTATTATGAACACTTGAGGATTGTGTAAAATGGGAAATACATATTTAATTTCCACACTAATTATACATACATCACAGGGACAGATTGGATGTTTATCTTGACCTATCAAATTATGTTTATACTTAGTTTTCTCAGTCTGGTATGTATCATTGTGGAATTGTCAATTTCATACAAGATGTTAGAATACAACACACGTCTTCATTCTATTTGATATGATAGGCCAAGAGAAAGTTTGTCTAGCAGTGATAAAAATGTAAAATACTGGTCTAACATGTGTCACAATTAATTCACACTAGACAATGCATATACAACTCTGCCTATTCTGTTAGCGAGCCTTTGTAATAATAACTTAGAACATCATAGTATAACCTCGGCCACAATAGTTTTGCTAGTTTTAGTATCCTACTCTAAGCTTTATATCAAACACTATAAAAAAAAGTGATATACTTATAGCTTATTATTTTTATAAATAATTAAGAACTCTAACTTTACTGTTACCATACTACTCTTACCTGCAGTGTGAAACAACACATTCATTACTACAATATTCTTTATCCCAGTCTGGTGACTCAATGGCTGGATTAGGACACCCATTGCGTAGACAGGTCTGTTGGATTTGTGGCTGTTGACCCATGTTCTGGGACACATGCATTGTCTGGTCACTAACCAACTGAGCCTAGAGAAAACGGAAGGGATTAAAAGACTTCACCTTAAAGCTCAACTAAATTCAAGGGTCCATTCCAAATACCACCCTTTAAAGAAATTAGTTTTTTTATATAATTAATTGAAACAACTTACTCCTTGCATGTTCTGATTGTAGGCTGTAGCAAGTGGTGCCATCTGATGGTTATGGATCTGAAGAATTTGACCTTGTTGTTGAAGAATAAGGGGAGCTCCTTGGACTATATGCTGTTGAGGAGCCTGTTGTGGTAACAAGAATGAAATGAAAAATATTGGATAACTGGTATTAAAATGTATTCATACATTCAGCAAGAATATCACAAAAAGTAATCAATATTGTAGCTTGTTATGGTCGACTTTTTCTTCACACCAGAAGATAATGGTTCGAGGAAAGATTTCACAAAAACTTACACTGAGATAAAGCAGTTTGTTTTTATTTTTTGAATATAACCATCGTTTAGTCCGAAGCTGTTTAGATCAACTCAACAGTATTGTTTCATTTTCAAAATATTATGTCACACTTAATGAGTTTCTTCTGTGAATAGTTTTATTGTAGCCTAGGTAAGATAGCGCTATACACGTTGAAAATAACCTTTTATCAGGGTTAATTCTGCCTTATAAAGATCCCAAAATTACCTTGAAAGACGAAAAAGTTTCACTATAGGTTTCCCATATATTTATAGAAGTATTATACTCATAAGCTGACACTTCAGTTTGACTGGATTTAGATCGTTAGGTTAGCAAGCATTTCTAGGGTTACATGTTAGCTGAAGGTAAAGAAAAACATTTTTACTTATCCAAAAGAAACATGTACAGAAAGAGATAACTTACCTGAGTCCATACCTGACTTGCAACAAGAGGGGCCTGGGGTTGTGTCATTACAACGGAGGCTGTTGATCCTTCCATGAGGGAGGTCAACAGAGGGGATTTTTTCTGCAGTGGTGAGAGAGATGGGGGTGAGTGACCACTGTAAGCTACTGTTGTCATTGGAGTTGTAGAGCTGACAGACGGGTTGCTGTACAAGTCTGATTGTTCTGCTCCAGCCTGTACGAAAAAAAAAGATATCACAAGTTTAACAATCCCTATTGTTATGTACGCAAAACACCTTTGTTTACAGCCTTGAAACAGTAAATATCTTAACTTATTCATTAACTTGAGGCAGCAGTGATTTGCTATGATGTACACTGTTCATTAGCGCTACAAAATTAGAAATAAAGTCATGATTGCTGTTGTTGGAAACAACAATATTATGCAGGAGTTTCGGCCCGGGTAACTTACCCATACACTATTATAGTTTTATTGTCATAACACTCGTGCTAATGATGATAATGGGTAAGAAGGTTGACCACTGTTTAAACATTTCTCAAAATTAGTTTATACCAAGGTCTACAACTTTCAGTTAACTATGAAAGAAATGTAAAATTACAAGGGAAAAAAATTAATGTTTTAGTAATGAGAAATATTTGAAGAATCCACATCTTAAAAACTTACCCTGGAAACCAAACTAGCTTTGTAAGCAGCAAGGGCTTTCAAATACTCTTTCTTTGCAGCTTCTGTCTTTTTTTTATAGACCTGCAAAGATCAGGGTTTTCTGGTTACAATATAATTAAATGCAATACATAATCAGATATTGATCATACTGAAATTACTCCTACGGAATGTTAAAGCAAAGGAAACGTAGTATGAGCGTAATGGTAAATACATTTACACAAACAATTGTTTACACTATTTGTTTTTTTTTTTTATCTATGAAATCACATAAAACAACAAAGTAAACTTCATATATACAAGAAGTTAGTGAGTTCGTGGTATTGACCTGTCCTTGTATTTCACGTTAACCAAGGGCAATAACCGGTTTTGTCCTAACTCAAAGATTGAACACGGGACAGGCCGAGATCCTGTTTTAACAATTGTTGATATGTTTTGTTTGTGTTGAACAACAACGCCCAGCTGTGTAATATTGGACTGCCGCTATTTATATTTAATAACGAACATAGATACGTTCTGCCATGCGAGTTGTTTTTGATCATTATTGAGTATTATATGAAAGATAGCATTATTAAACTGAACAGGTTATGTAACAATGCATTTACTCTTACAGGAAGTGCGTATTAATAAGAAAACGTTATCTATATCAGCCTGAACTAAGAGAAACTGTCTTTATTTCTTATTTAGTAACTATGCCAAAAGTTTGGAAACCTTGCAGTGATCAGATAGTTAAAACCTCAAACCCAGTTAAATCTGCATTTTTAATAAAACATTCTAGAGAAATTTCGCTGCCATTATATTTTGGTTTGGATATTACATGGCTGCTGAACTCAAATAACATATATAAAAATTAACCGATTGTCGTTTCCTGTAATTCGCCATGAAATCCTGCAGGTAACCATTTCCTTTCGTCTCTGTGCAATGTTTCTGTATTCAACATAGTCGATATATCTTAAGATAGGGAAAAATTGACAGAATGGGCTATTTGCACTAAGTCCACCAAAGGGAACTGAACCCCGGATTTTAGCGTTGTAAGACCGTAAGCTTACAGCTGACCTACAGGGGGACTATGGAAAGGTTTGTTTGTAATTATGCACAAAGCTACACAATGGGCTCTGCCTATCATGGGTTTTGAAACCCGATTTCTAGCGTTGCAAGTCCGCAGACATGCCGCTGTGCCACTGGAGGGTGTATGTAAAGGAACGTCTTTATTTGTGTAACAACGTCTTTCACGTAACATTTATACGAGAGCGTTATTACTGACACACTTGTCGTTACCATCTATCAGAAAATGTATATTAAGCAAAAAATACTGAGACGTTCGGGCAACTTTTTGAAGACTGAAAAGTAGAAATAAATATGTAGAAAAGTATTTGTTAGCACTAGAAACTTCTATTAGCCAGCTTTTATATTTTATTTTTACTAGATGTTTATATGAAATCGTAATTTTTCTCCTGAACGGTAATTTATGAGCACGTGAGCTAAACTGACCAGGCCAAAAGCCTATAGAATTCAGATATAACGGTTCCTAACTTTAAACTATTAACCAGAGGGAAGACAACCAGTCTATAGCGCCTGCAACCGTATAGCGGGATTAACCATCGCTTTTATAACACACAACCGCACTAAAAGTGCCTAGCGTGTTCAAATAGTGTCACATCTCGAACCTCAGACCCTTCCACAGTAATGATCAAATTTGATACAACTTCAAAACTTTGACTTAATAAACGTGGTTCAGTTAACAGTACGATATAAAATCTTGGAAAACTTACGTTCTTGTGGTCTACGTCTAAACTATCCCACATCGACGCGACAATCTTGGAAACTTCTCCAAAACTAGCATTTGGATTCTGTCCTTTGATAGCAGCCTGGGTATCTCTGAAGAAGAGGGCGTAAGCAGACACAGGCCTGGTGAAAGATGAGGTCATTAGAAAGCAATGATTACAAACAATAAACTAGTCTTTGAATGACAATTGAAACTGGCAGTAGCCTTTTTGGATGTTTATAACAATTAGCACGAGTGAAAATTATATCACCTGCTCAAATTACCAGCGGAGAGGCAACGAAACGATTTTTATCCTTGTGTAATCCTAAGTGTACCGTAAAATTAGGAACCCAGGTTTAGAACTTGGAACAAATTGGAAACAAATAAGCAAATTCAACAGTTTTATCTTTGCGTTATTTAGATTTTCCTGCAAATCTGGAATTGGAAATTTGTGAACTCTGGCCAATAAAACTGAAATTTTTAAAACAAAATAGCTAAATACCTGGTAAAACATTTAATTTAGTAAAAGATAAAATTTTCTATGCAGTGTTTTTGTAAGGTTTAAAGACCTGTTAACAGTAAACGTATCACGAAATTTTAATGTTATAAAATCTGTAAAACTCTAATTTGAAAGATCAGGATTTTAGTTTGAAACGACACCCCATCAAAACTTTTTTCACACTGCTCAGTACTGTTAGTGTACAGATTACCACAAAAATCATTTTTATAATAAATATATTTTTTTATAAAGTACTTTTACTGACAACTTATTACTTCTACAAAACAATTTTTAAGCTTGACAATTTATTCCCATCCGATTTGGAAACTATTATAGTTGTATACATAACAGAACCCCAGTTGGTTTGATGTATACTGGTTGGACTTTAAAGACAGTGAAATTCAATAGAAAAAGTTGAAAATATGTTAAGTGTAGTCTTCTTACTGAAAAAACATTGGCACATTTGGACCAAATGTTAAATATTATTAGCAGTGAGCCTGTCTAATGGTTTTATCATTTTCTATCATTATTTTTACACCTTCGCTAATACCCTGTTTAGTTTGAGTAAACAAATGCAAGCACAATACAAGTTAATCAATAACCAAGTTTTCTTTAAGCAGTGTTGTTTTCCTGATGATATTTCCTTTCAAAGATTCAAGTAACATGATAGAATGATAATATTCTAAACCTATATATAAGACAAGAACTGGTGTTTGTGGTTTCTCGTAAGTAAGGTAAGGTATGTTATTTTGTTTATTTATTGTTGCTTTCATTAATAATAATTGGTTGTTCTACTTAGTATATTGAATGTAATAACTTATATTTTAACTTGTCTTTCATTATAGTATTTTTATTATAGAGATTTATTTGTATTGTTAGGTTACAATTTGTATATAAGGCTAACCTAAATCTTCTAAGCTGGCTGAACCTTGTGAGACACTATTGGGTTTACGGTCGACAATATTGTTAGGAGCAAGAGTACCCAACTTATGAAACAATGCATTCTAATCTTTATGAATAGAAACGTAAGAAAATTATACTTAGTTAGCTATACTGACTGTCAGGCTGTTTTTCTTTAGTTTCGCTCTAAGTACATAGCCTACTCTAATTGGAAGTTATTATTACTCACGATTCGAATGTCATTACAGACTTTTTAGGTAATCCTTTTTTTGTTGTTATTGTTGTACGTGTGGCCATTTATATCTATTTAAAGAATAGCACGGATTTTTTTCTCAACAGAATAGTATTCATTTTCCACAAAAACAGAATGATATTTAATACAATCCAGTTTTTAAATTTAAAAAGAAATGGGGAGAAAATCTATCTTACAATAAACAAAAAAGATTGAGTAAGAATGTATATACAAGAGGCACCAAGATTTCCTCTATCTTACAGCCTGATGTCTTCTAGTGGTTAGCGTGCTGGATTGTGAATCCTGGGTTCATGATTCGGAGCCGTGGATTCAGCATAAATGTGAAGGTCAAATCCCACTATTTGATTACAGTAGACCAAGTGTTGGCGGGGGGGGGGGGCGTGTTAACTAGCTCTCTTTCCCTGTAGTTACCGATTTAAAATTACGAACACCTAGCGCAGTTCCTGAAACTTACTTCATCCTGGATGTATACGTTTCTTCTCCGGGCCAGAACACGAAGTCATTAAAACAGCTGCTCTGTTTCAACAAACCATAATAAAATAATTGTTTATACTTCGGTATATCAAACATAATACCGAATACGAGTTTTACATTCCTTGCACAAAACATTTGATAATTACTACTTGTAGTTCGAACATCTAACGTTTTCTGCCATTTCTATCAAATTTTAACGATAACTGTTGTTAATTTCTGTCCTTTATCAAGGGTGGTGCTTAGCCTTGAATTCTACAAGGAAAACAGTAGTATACATGTACCATATAACCACTCCTCCTATCATTATATAATCCTTGCTTGTTCTTGATTCAGCAAAGTTACTAGTGGTGGCCTCTATAGGCTGTGAAGGTCCCAAGACTAGTTCTTTCAGAAATAACGGAATTGGAATGCTTTAAGTTCGGCAAGTATACGACACCAAAAGCATCTGGAACGTATGCCCTTCACGAAAGATTAAACAGGTTAAGAGCTGCACCTTGTTCCCATTCTCAGTAATATTGAACTAAAACGTAGAGTTTCTTTGGCAGATTTTCAAGAATCTTAAAAAGTATAACCTTTCAAAGTATCTTTTTCTCACCATCACATCTCATAGTTGACTAACGTGGCTAACCTCCTAAAAAGAACAATGAAAATCGTACAACTGAGTCACGTTTTAAAATTATATAAGATCGATAATACCATAGCGTGATTTTTGAAGTTAGAGCACACTGAAAGGGTGTATAAATATTGAAGGAAGGCCAAAGTTTCAATTATGTTTTCACTTGGATCGAAATGGCGTTCATTTATGTATAAATCTTGTGATTCGAGTTAATTATATACAACCCATATATCTTTTTACTTATTTCTTAGACTAGACATGTAAAGAACTTTAAAGTAACTTTAACCGACTCGCCGCAAAATTGACAGCGATCGTGCAACAGGACATTGTCTTTTACAATATGAAAATACATCCAATATTCTTGTGCAAATACACTCCTACAAGTTAGACACTGTTTTATCCGACTAACGAGCTTACCTATTCCAAATACTGTGATATGTGAAAAACAGTAATTTGTTTTTTCACGTTTACAAAGTAATAAAACATACCAATTTGTCATAAGTGATATCCGTCAGCCATTCACTTCTAAATATGGCATTACGACGTGAACATATTACATTAAGTTGAACACACACCAATTAGTTGTAAAATTTGTCTTTAATTTCCATCTTTCAAGCCTGACGAAAAAAATTGCTATTATATTGCGTTATTAAATTTCATTGGCACGACCTGCACTTTATGAAGGACGTTTTCAAAATTAGCACTGGTGTAAAGATAAACTAACCCAGTTCTATTTCTATGCAAGACTATAAGGTGGTTTTAAAGCTTTACGAGGGCTTTCCCATCTTTATGTTCCAACTAACCGAGGGGGTCTAAGATCGCTTTGGTCACCTATAAATAGCGAATGTTTGAAAATTGACTAAAAATATTCGAAAAGTTGAAGCCTCAACAAAAAGAATCGCATAGTAACAAAACAAATTAATAACGAGAAACTAAGAAACGCATGTATATTCTTAGTCTAAAGAAAGAAATAGACGTTAAGCTGTGAGCTTACCATATCTTAATATAAGCAATGGTTCCAAACATACAAACACAAATACAGAATCTAATATTTTAGCTCCTCCCCCCCCCCCCTCGCTGCTCACAATTCAAAGCAGTGAAGATAAGTAACTACTATCTTTTACGATATACTAGGATTAAATAACTTTTTCAAACACCGTCTGCAGGTGCGATATATTTTCTCTCTGGAAACAGCTCCACTCGGTAATAATTTGAATCCCGAACGATTTGTTATAGGATTATAAAATTGTTCATAGCGCGCCATTCTTCTTCCTTGGTTAAGTATTGGCTTTGTTCCAATTTAAAAGCTCAGCAATAAAGATCGAGCTGCCACAATGAAAAATGATCCTTCTTTAAGAATAGGAGATTGTTATACTTTATCTACGATAAACGTGTTCGTTCTCATCTTTTTCAATCCATTTGTTTTTCAAATTCTTTGAGTGACGGGAAAACGGAAGTTTTATTAAGCTTTTCACTCTTCAATACGCAGTCACTAAATGTATTTTTTTCAATCAATTAAAGATAAGACGTACATACAAGGAAGCGAAAATCCATTTGAACTGAAATAACAAGACTAACGAATCGTTTTAACAAAAGTATGCAAAAACAACAAATTTTCCGAAACGAACATATTTTGTATAAAGTTTATTTTCAGTTGCATATAAATATCGGCTATTTTAATTGGCATACGTGAGATTAAGAGCTTGGAGATTTCAATATATGTAGCGGCAAGATATTTAAATAAAAACAATCATATTGTGATTAATTAATTTACATTTTCAAAAGATACTCGATTTTTATGAACACGGAAATATATATCTATCTATCTATACATATTCCGTCCTATTTCCGGTGAATTTTGATAAAAAAAATATAATCAGCTTCCTAGATCATTTAGTGATTTTACCTCAGCTATATTAAATGGAAGTGGGGTAGAAATATCTGTTGCATAATGATGTATGATCATAATGTGTTCTATTAATCTTTCAGGAATATTGGGCATGATGTAAGTAAGAGAAAGAATGACGTTGTACATTTGGCTTACTTTTGCGGTTCATTAGGGTCTTTCTTTTTCTTCTTCTTCGGAACTTTGGGTTTTTTGCTTGACTTGGTGTTGCTAACAGGTTCTACAGGCTCTGGTGATGGTCTTTTCACTCCACCCATTAGCTATAACAGAAAGAAATACGTTATAAGGCAGAAATTAGCTCCACGGTAGTTTTTAAATAACTGGAAATGTTAATTTAATTTTAATATATAATGAGAAAATGAGACATGACTTCATGAAATTTAGTTGAATGGACAGGAATTGCCCGTTGTAGAAACATAAGTGTAGAGAACGACGTTTCGAATTTCATCCTGAACTAATTCAATATTTAATCTAGCTTGCATACCCACCCTTAAACATATCTGTATCATGGTAACCTATTAAAATTATAACGGTGACAATAACCAATTTCGATAATATCGTCGCACAAATGAAATGGAACAAATGTTTATAAACATCATTATGAATGTAACCGCATTCTAGGAAATCTGTTAATTTATCTGCGTGATACAAATACACGAAAATGTTTTAGTAGCATATTTCAATCTTATCGTCTGTTGGTTAACTTTACAATCACTGAGAAAGGCTGGAATGCTTACTTAAGGGAATAATTTCTACCTACCACTGTCGAGGGTCAGTATTTAACAAATTACTACTTAATTTTTTTATTTATTTCTGTTTCTATAGAAGCAACAACGTTCCACAACTGACTTTATAGGTTCAGCGGTAGTTTGGTGGGGTATTGTGACAGAAGCACCCATATAGACACCCAAGTTTCGTTGTAAAATAATCACGTATTTGTGATGATTAAAAACAGGAGTTAAATCTGATAAGTGGTATATACCTCACTGATTTTTATGGCCTAATTTAGCAAGTAATTCCCACCTCTTCCTCATCTGATGGGTGATGTATGCCTTACCGATTTTTAAGGCCTAATTTAGCGAATAACTACCACTGCTTCCCCATTTTATAAATGGTCTATGCCTCATCGATGTGTAGGCCCTAATTTAGCAAGTAATGTCCATCTCTTTCTCATCTGATAAGTGATGTATGTCTCACCAGGGTGTAAGGCCTAACTCCCACCCCTTCCTCCATTAGGGCAGATTTTACTTTTCCCGCTCTTAAATTCAATGAATAGATTTTATGCTACATGTGTACAAAGTAGTTTTTATAATCAACTTTCAGTGGTGGAAAAAAATGGCACAGCATTATTTTCTGCCTGAAAAGGGGTAAATTGAAAACGATCGTCAACTTAAATTTCGAAAACAAAAATAAAAAATATGAAAACCGTTTTATTTAACGTACCTGAAGAGTTAAAAACATTTTACCACGTAGAAGATTGTTGTGGTGTGTGCGTGTTGAAATATGCACATATTTGCAACAGTATCACTGGTGATTATTAGATAAGCTTTAGGCAAGCTAACAGTCTAAATTAACAACTATATTAAAACTTGAAGATCGCCTCATAGTGTTTTTCAAAACAAATTCGAGAAAAAAAAAACAAGCTGAAAATATAAGGGTATCATGTAATGGAAACGCAGCATCTGCTACAGAGCGATAGCATTCATCAACAGCGCCGCCTGTGGCTATCTTTCAAAACCCGTAGAGTGGTTATTACTCTGTACCATCTGCTCTTTTTAAAAGGGCGTCTTTACTGTTCACTAACATCCAATGTGTTATTACCGATATTTTAAAGGTTCGGAGCTCTTGACAAGAGTGGAACTTTTTAATGGGTGTTTTAATCACTAGAAAACAGAAACTTAGATAAGAGAACGAAAAGTAGTCACACAAATTAAGACTAAACTTTTATTCACCACAAGTTCGACGTTTGTAAGAAGTCTTAAAAAATAACGGAAACTTCAGACTTATCTGTAATAATGCTAATAATTGTGCAGACAAATTCTGCTCTAATGCATTTTATCTCGTTTTTAGAGTTAATTCATTCTATTACATACGAACGCGTTTGTAATAAATAATTTTATGAAGAGAGGTACTTTTTATCAACAGTTAGCAGGAAATTATAAATCTATAAACAGATAGAACTATGTAATAAAATGTTGAACAGTAAAATTGTGAATTATAAACAGATAAAATTAAATTATCAATAGATAAACTGATAATGAAACAAAATTATTAAACGAACAAAATCGATAAACAGGTAAAAGGAAACTGTATAAATAATATACAGATAAGATGACATTTTAAAACGATAAACAAATAAATTGTTGATATATACATAATGATGTCTCGATATCTTCTTCGTAGTGTTTACGATGAACCCCACATTCAACTTATAAATCGATAAACAGATAAAAATAAATTGTACAATTATTGTTAAATGATAGAATGATGTAATAAGTTGATAAAAATTAAAATGTGAAATTGGTATCCTTAATAATTTCTTATAATGCTACTTGTAATGGTATAAGAAAATGGGTGAATGTATCCAATTGTTTTCAAGTTTATGCTTTGAATACAACTTAAATTTGACCAACGTAGTGATGATAGTACATGTACCAATGGAATGCTATCGTCGCTGTCTTCGCTGGTTTCCTGTCCTGGAGAAGTATGATTGGATCCAGGAGAGCTCCCCATAGATCCGGGACCTTGCTGTCTGGCCATTCCTAAAGGAGCTTTCATACCCAGTTGTGTCATCAGTTGTGTCTGACTTATAGTTGTAAGCAGAGAAGCATGTCCGTTTATTACAGAAGGCTGTGTTGACAGTGGATCTGGTACCTGAGGTGGGGGCATGGTCTGCATTTGTGACTGTCGTTGTTGCATTTGATCATAGCTACTCGGGCGGTTCTCATAGGAATGAGCACTGAAATACAGATAAAAAAACAAATGTTACCACTTTTATTAAATTCATATAAACTACGTACCCAAACTTAAGACATTATTATTTACAATGCAGCACTTAGCTCGCCAATGATTTTTTTTGTGCGGTAAAAAAATCAAAGATTTGAAGCGCTGAATAACCAAACTTGAGAAATATCTTTGTACAATACAGTAAATTTATACGAATAGTTTTTATGAGATTTTTCCCACATGACCTAGAAGCTCGACTAAAAACGTATTTTAAAAGTGTGTATTAGTACGGCGTGAGGTTACAGTGGCCTATATCCAGGAGTTAGGCCAATGATTTCCTATACAAAACATGGACACTGTGATATATATATATATATATATATATAACACAGTGTCCATGTTCTGTATAAGAAATCACACACACATATATATCAAATCTACAGGGATGCCTTCATATGAATAGTGTTAACTAAAATTCAGTGAAAAGTTCTCCTAGACACTATAAACACATTTCTACACTAAATAACAACTAGCTACCGATTACATACGGACTAAAATAGATAACCAACACTTTCTAGATAACATATCGTGTTTAAATCCGTTCACTTGAAGTTAATACGAAAAAATATTAATAGAGCTACAATTTGTACATCTTAAACCACCGATTGATTTACGAACAAAATCTAGCAAATCGAGATTTCGTGATTTTACGTATTTCAGTAGAAAAATCAACATTTAACTTACAGCATTTGGATGTTTTGCATCTCCATCCGACCTCCAGGTTGGATCTCTCTCATCTGAGGCAAGTACATTTCATCCATGTTATGTCCTGGATATTGGACCGTGGGACTTTCCACTATTCCTTGGGGAGCAACTGTAGTAGAAGGAGAAGACGTCATCACTATGGTCATTCCCTGACTTTGTGCTTGGGCAAGTGAGAGTGCCTGAAAAACAAAAACACCATAGTGTGATCACTGTGATGATTCAAAATAAAACATGTTTCACTAAGATCAAATTAATGAAAATTCGAAACCACAGTTTTGAAATACAGCACAAAGAAATTTTTTAAGAGGGAAAATTCTTGGCACTACGAATACATGCATCTTGTGTCAAACACCTCATCACAATAAGTACTGAACTGGACCGGGCGTGGCTTATTAGTTGACGTAAATCCGAATGTCCATGGTTCGTATCCCGTTTCCGAAAATGGCGCTCTTTACTTTTAAAGTCGAATATGCGTTATAAGAGTAACAGTCAAATCTCATATTCGGCCAGACAAGAACAGCCCAAGAGTTGGCGACTGGTGCTGCTGACTAGCTGCCTTCCATCTAGTCTATCAGTTCCAAATTAGAAATGTCTGGCGTATAGTCCTTGTGTAGCTTTGCACGAATATCCGAACCAAGCACCTAGCTAATCAATTAAATTTTTACTTTAGCTGTATGTAACTAATGGTGAAAGCAGGTCCAACCATATACCAATGCATGCTTTCTCACGTGAGTTAAACCAGGATACCTTTCGCCAGATAACAGTTTTAATGTTAAATTTTGAACATGTGTTTGAGCCTGAATGCATAATCTTAAGCATTTTTACTTCTTACAAAATAAACAAGTCTCTTGATTTGCAAAGCGACCGACTTAACACATTTGAGTAAAGCCAGACTAAAGTTGAAGAAAGAACACATTTATCGTATATACAGTTAGAAAGACAACCCCACTAACAAAGTGTTATTGTAATTAAAGGCATCGATAAGCAAAAGTGGGACTTCACAATCTGTTTATGCGTTTTACGCATACAACATATTACTGTCAAACTTTAAGAGGATCTTTTCTAGTTTGTTAATTTAAAACTTTTGAAATGAGATATTTTACCTGACTTTCAAAGATGTCCCCAGTATTCCCGTTTCCATCACTAGATGGCATGCTCAATGTTGGAATACCAAATTCTTCGTCCCCAAAACTCGGAGTATGGAAAGTCTGCAACAAACAAAATCTTCCTTTTCAAACTGAATTTGGCCCAAAATGACATTTTTAACCAATAAGGATAGAGATAATCCTAGTATATACACCTGTCACTGAACAAATTGATAATTTAAAGTATGCTTTAACATTTAAATTGCAAGCTTTTAGACTTTAGGGTAAATGTATGTTTCTTTATGCCTTCGTATAAAATAAAAAGCTTCAACATTTCTAACAGATGTTTACTTGTACTTCCCTACGCCCACTAAAAGATGATGCTCTGACATACTCTAATGTAAACTGACGGATTCGATATATATGAATCTGTAACGGATTTTCTTTCTTCAATACTGCCACTTACTACAAAAAGATTTACACCAGCTGCATTATAATAAACAGAAATGGATTATAGGATGGCAGAAATAACTATTTCTGTTGTCCCTACTTTATTTTTTCAAGCAAACCTTTATCAGTTTGTAAATTGGGATTAACTGTTTTGGCTCAATCGAAAAGGGCGGTGTTTTGACGTGTTTGGTGAGATGTGTTCTCGACAAGCATCTTGAATCTAAATTATCGGCCGGATTGAAAGCTATGGTAAGGGATTTCCCTTTCGGAGACGTTTGACACAAAAGCTTAAAATGTTCATACGTATAAAAGCAGGTGAATAATAACACCACAAAATCATCCACCTTGGTGGTCTTCTTCAATGTTGATCCTAAGACCTGAAATTGCTGAAGGGATTTTACAACACACAAGTCTAAAAACCATTTGAGATATAAAGTGACTTTAAAACCACTCTCTACCCAAATTAAAACTGGAAGAACATGTGACCCAAAAAATTATTACATGTAAGATAACCCCTCCTGTATATTACAATCGCTTCTTGGAGAAAAAAAAGTTACATCTTATTTATTAACTTCTCTAAAGTATAAAACAACACATATTATAAACATTTTAAATAACGTCAACTAAAGAAATTCTTTTGGAAAGGACATTTATCATGACTAATTTATTCTTTCTAGTCGTCGTTTAATTTAGAACCTTTTTTTTTCAGTAAAGACGGTTTCAAATTACATTACTGATAACACTTCCCAACTAAGAAAATATCATCTGAAGGCTTAAAAATCGAGATCAATTAAAATGAAAACATGATACCAAGTAAAATACTTTGCCAAACAGACGTAATGAGCTCACAAAGCCTAGTTTTTAAAAATCAATACCATATTGTATTTGTATCTGATGAGAACACTTGGTTTTTAATGGAAATATTTTTAAGATGAAGAGACGAAAAAACTTGTTTTTTTATCTCTTAGTTGTCGAACTTCTTGAAAATCTAATAACCTGGAAAAAATAAGCTTCGAAAAATTATTTGAATTTTCTTTTCTCTAATATAAAACACTGCTTTATGATAGTACGTTTGGATATGTACTTTTACCTAATGAATCACGTATTCTTCAAACAGCACTAACAAAAAAAAAGTATTCCACTATAATTACTTTCCCGGGACTTTATTATTTGCTGTTTCAAATATTACTTCATTCTTTCTTTTTCCAATTTTGAACAAGGAGGGGAGGATCAACAATTTATATATATATTGTTTATCATTAAGAATCTAATCAGAAACTTGTATGAACACGATTCACGAACGTCAAACAAGTTCAGATGATATTAGTTCTCTAATGCAAAACCATGAAATTAAGTTTTGTTAAAACTCTAAATGCCGAAACCTACGATCATACGAAATAACACAAAAAACAGTTCGGATATTTTATTACAGACGTTTTCTATTGAGTTACGAAAAGCATAAAACAACAGACTATTCGGAGTTTCAGTAACATTAAAGTTTCTCACTTACAATGAGAATAATGTACATGTAATGTTTTCAGAATACTTAGTTTTGACTGAAAAAAATAAAGTATAACATTATCCATCTTCAGTTTTTAATCAATATCTGCTGTTTACCATACATTTTCTCTATTAAACACAGAACAAAATTGGTGTAATGACGAACTAGTCTGCTGACCAAACCTTCGGGTCATTACAATGGTACTTGTAATAAACTTTACAGACTTGTATTTACACCAGATTTCACAGCCCCTGTTTGACTTCATTCTCGCACTACTCGTGGAATGAAAGTCCGTATCTTCTTTTAAATTAATGTGCATCAACTTTAAAGTTAATTTATTTACGAGTTATTATAAAACAGGCGTTTATTAGAATATAATTGGGAAATTCAATAAGTTAAAAACCTCCATTTTTATGTAGATGTGGTAACAGTAATATAAGACAAATGTGACCAATTATTCAAACATTTTAATGACGAGTTCCGGTTTGAACCGTTCAGGATTACCACATGGTGGAAACAAATCGTTCTTCAGCTGAGGTACTACTTAAAATATTGTTTAATGCAGTTTTTGACTTTTATGTCATAAAATGCCTAAATTGACTAATATTGTGTGTGTAAATTCTATAATATTCATCATTGTTTTGTTAGTGCACAATGACTGTTATTTTGAACTTGAACTCGTGTTATAGTCGCTCACACGCCGAACTTGTTCTCCGTTGTGTTTTTAAACAGGTTTTTACTGTTTAAGAAAATAAAATATTACTATAAGTGAAATAATTATTCTGAGAATAACATATATTTGTATTTAAAATAGATACATAAAAGCTTAAAAGAAAACAAAATATTTAAGCAGTCTTTCTTGAAATCAACTCGTAGCTTTACGAAGTTAAGAAGGGTATATACGGTTCGTGCTATGTATTACGTGTTATGAAATAATTTCGCAAACGAAAGTTGGTCTGCCAAATGGGAGAATTGAAAGGATTTGTGTTGTACATCATAATGTAGAAACTGGTAACGAGGGTCAAAAAAGACACAGACACTTTGTAAAGTTCCACTGGAAACCAAGTCTCTTTATCATGAACTATAACACGCGTAAAGAAATAAATAAATCTGAAAACAAAACAAATTTTACCTAAATGCCAAAACAAAAATAAAACCTCAACTCCTTTAACACCATATTAACAAAGAAAACAGGGGTACAAATCACAGAACCACTTCCAGATTCAACTGCTCCACTTGAAGAAGCTTGTAAAAGATAGCCAGGCGTTTTAGCAAGTTATCTCTGAAGACTACTGGCAACTCCTTAAAAGTCAAAACTTACATGAAAAGCAACGTCGCCTCTGAAAGCTGAGCCAATCAAAAATAAGTAACCGTAGTTTGTTATAGCTCTATCATTCCACGTGACGTAAAAACAGGCTGTACTTGGTGGTCATCAAGATCCAACAAGTCAATGGAATAACAGATATTTTAGACTGGCAATAGCTATAGAGGTGACAAACTCCAGATGTATATCTGAGAAAATTAATAACATACTTGTCGTTTCAAACCAGAACTAGAAAAAATACAAAACTTAGAAAAGTGCAGTCTGAAACTCAAGGAAGCTAATTTATGAGGTAAACATACCACAAACATGGAAAATTTTGTTATATGCGACTTCGTTTCTCATGAAGATCTTAATTATTGGTATAGAAACGTGTTTTTGCTATATAAAACGAATATCCACCAATGTTTATATTCTGCTACGAACAGTAAAATGCCCAAATCTTGTTATAATTTCAAGTTATGTTAAAACTGGGAAGCTTTAGTACACCCAAACTATCCTTTATTCATTCATAATTACATTATTTACCGTTAAGTTATCAGTTATGATTTCGCCATAATCTTCTGTTTATTGTAATTATTAGTCATTAAACAACGCCATTTGGACATCTTCAAACTCGTTCGATACATTTATTACATTATCTTTCCCTGTAATTATGTTTATGCAGAGACCCCCCCCCCCTCTTCTAGACCAGTGGTTTGAATAGACATGGGTATTACATGGATTAAAAACATTCGGTTATTTTGTTCCACCTTATATTTTCGTTTTACTGTCTGTGGTTCTTGTGATCTGCGAACCTGTAGGGGGTCGGTCAGCATTGTACAACTCGAGTTCCATATAACAGTTAAATGACATTATTATGCTCGATTAAATAATGTTTCGTTTAAAAAAAATTATATACTCGCATATATCGGCACAACTTTTATACACTGAATAATCAGATTTTGCACACAGACATATTTGAGTACGAGATTGTCTTTCATTTGTGAAGGGGCCCATGAGAAAGAATAAGTTGAGAACCACTGTTCCAACACACACTTATTTGCGATATCTTATATATTTTCCAATTTAAGGTTTACGCTGCTTTTGGAACTGGAAAATTCAGACTGAACGACACCTTAGACACAGGAGAGAAGGCAGCCAGTCAGAAGCTCTGCCGCCACGAGGTTTTGTCCAGCTATTTGAAACGAATATTGGGATTGATCTTCACCTTTACAACACGCCCTCAGTGCCTAACGTGTTTAGCGGCATCACTTGGCTACACCCGGCCAAAAGGTGTGGGCATTTTTACTTCCTACTTCTCGTGTGCTTGCGTGCACACTTTCAATTTCATTTTTGGTTAAGTTCACCAATGGACTAGAAAATCTTCCCTTACCAGCCAACCGCAGCTTGTGAGAGGGTAGGGGATGAGCACATGACCGACGGGCTGGTTACTTCCGGGCCCGAAGCAACTCACCAAAACTGGAACATGTATGCTTGACGTCCCGGCAATTTGACGTCATATTTAGTTAATTAAGTGTCAACGTCTAATTCCACTGTGCTTTTTTTTTTGAAGTTTCGATTTGGAATTTTCCACATAAAATCATAATCTACGTAAAGGCATGCTCATCAGTAAAATCAAGTGAAACTATATATAGGTTCCGAGTTGTGTCAAAAGCTGATTGGGTCGTTCATGCAGTTTTATGTATTACTAACGACTGATTGGTTACCAACTTGACAAGTGGTACGCGTAACTTCAAGAAATACATGTTACCAGTATGGAACTTTTACTTATATCGTGGTAATATCGCAATGTCCCTGAATACCGGAACTTAAACTGAAACGAGGTAATCAAGTTTGGTGGTTTCTCGG